GCACCTATAAAAGTAGTATATTATATATAATAATAACCTGCTTTGCTTTAATATGATTAGGAAGAAAAAATACCTGTATATCACCTCATTTCTTTGATGCACATGGTCATTAATTTAGTGCTCTTCTAATGATTCATTGGAAACTGTAATATTATAAACGCATAAATGAAATATGTAAACCAAAAAGGGGCATTAAGTATTTGAAATGAGGATTCAGCCAAAATACCAATAAAAAACGAATTGCGTGTAGTAATTTAGCTCTTTAAGATGCTTTAAATGGGGTTTAACGGACTAAGAGTCTGTCTCTAAAGCGCACAAAAAACCTGGAACCCAAAAAGTAGCAATTCATTAAAGCTCGTAAAGAATAAAAGTTTCTATAATACCAACAAGCAGCTCACAATAGCAGAGCCCAAGAATTAATAATTAAGCCTTGAAATGAAAGAATAAGAACATATTATTTTATTAATTAATGGAGACAAATAAAAGTGACGCAAAATTCTCACTAGCTCCACTCTATTGAGACAGCCATTTAACCATACCTATAAATGTGAATATAAACATACTTAGGTCAACTTTATAAATGGTGTAAGACACTTAAATATGCGAGACAATAACATTATTTTGATAAGGGACACAACAGAAATAGATCCGCTTTTTCACCATAATTCTTAAATGAAAAAATACGAATATATTTAGATATACTGCAAGAAGCCATCCTAACGAATAGGCCTAATTTATAGACAAAAACTGTTTATGAGGATAAAAGAGCTCAATTCCTAGTGTATATAAGAGCACTGTGAATATATATAATTATTCGTTTATGTATAAGCAAGAAAGTGTATGCTTTTAGGATACAAATAATAAAAATTAAGCAAGCGTAAAAAATATGCTTAAGCACCATGGTGAAACTATAAGTGAAGAGAATAAGTGTTATTTAGTTTTAACAATAAAACTAGTGTGAAATATTCAATAAATATAAGATAGCATAACAATATCATAATTACGTACAAACGCAGATAGAGTACCCGTTAACGATAAAATTAACTAATTATACTCACACAAAATTTATTAAAAAAGCATATATACCATGAATAAAGAAAGTTAGAAAAGAAATAAGCCAAACAAGCACCCACACTCATATAGTTTACACAACGCGCCTCTTTATTGTAATAATCTTTATTGCAAAGTTGTTTTAAAATAAATTGTTAGTTATAAATTTTAGTTATGTTAAAAATAGTATAACTTTTCCGCCAACTATGAGCCTCTTAGACCCCCGTGAGGTCTGCTTATCGTTTACTAATGTTGTTAACTAGGAAGAAAAGGATGTTTTGAAATCGATATATGAAGGAGATGAGTTTTCGGTTTCCGACGATTTCGTGATTCAATATAAGGTTATATCTTGTGTAACTTATTTTTTTTAGTTCGGTGTCGATGGAACTACTAAATCATTCATACTGTCCATAGTTTGGCCAATTGGGTACCCGGATAAACAACCTGTTTTATCATTGGATTCATTTTACAACAATCATTTATCATCGTCCCTTAAGGATAAAATAATCAGCGACCTTTCCGTGCTATCTAACTCTCTCCTTGGGACTGCTTTGACGTTTACTCTGATTGAGCACACTAGAGAGAATTTAGATTCATACTTTGAAATGAACGATTCCCTTATAGAGACTATAGAAGATGTTAAGGAAACAAGCGCCAGGAAAGGAACCAAGACTTTGAAAGCCGAACATATGTCCAAAAGTCAGAAAAAAAGATATTACAATCGGCTTGGTAAAAGCGGAAAATTAGAACGAGGTTGGAATTGGGTTAACATTATACATCACTTGAGTCAACTTGGATCACAATGATATTTTGGAACTTCCTACTGCTTATTGTAGGTATAGTTCGTCTCTGGTCATAATAAATGACTATTTGCCAAATTATCTGTCTTTCTGGATTCGTTGTTCAAAAACGCGCAATGAGGTCTCGAGCCGTCGCTAGGAACTTCAATTTTTCTGTCTTGTTTGTTACCACCAACACCCAATTTTCAAGCTCTATCACAAGGACCGTTTGCCTATTCTTATACGCAACCATCTTGGTATAATAAGGCATTTTCGAAGGTATTTTGCCGGGATAATTAGCCGTCATACCATTAGGCT